GTGTGAGAACAAAGGAACTGGGATGGCAAGGAGGGAAAGATGGCTGGAGATGAAGCTGCAGGGGAAAGTAAGTCAGATTCAGACCCACGGGGTCTTGATGAGTTTTCTCTCTAGCTTAAGGATAATGGGAAGCTACTGAAGCACTCTGGAGAGATGACGTTTCAAAATTGCAGAACTGATCAAGCCGTTCCTCTGCTTGAACTTCTGTGGCTGCTTCGCATGGATCCGCAGGTGGAACCATGGTCCAAGAAGGACATCTGCACTTTATCAAAGGCAGCACGGCCATGCAGTGCCCAAAGCAAGCCAGAGAGCCTAAAGATTTGTGACTTGGAAGAGTAAAGGCTTCTTTAAAAAAGGGGTTTCAACTGCAGTCTAGGGCCGACCAGAGGGAACTGTCCTCAGTGGTTTTGACCCAAGGAAATGGATGGGCAGGAATCCAAACCCTAAGTTTGGAAGGGACCTTGATGATTCTGCAGGCAGGATCTCTTCCCTCGTTCTTCAGGTAGGGTTGTTGATAAACTGCATTTCCAATAAAGACATCAGTTAAGGTATTTCTTAAGTGACTAGTTATCACTCAAGTTATCATATACATTCCTAATTAACCCGTTGGAGGAAGGGTATAAAACCAAAAATAAGCACAGCTCAGGTGAAAATTCCAACATAGCCAAGAAACTTAATTGTGTTTTTTCTTTTTAAATCCTCACCTGAGGCTATTTTTTCCATTGCTTTTCAGAGAGAGTGAAAGGAAGAGAGAAAGAGAAAGACACCTCAATTGGTTGCCTTCCTCATGCACCCCACCTGGGGCCAGGAATTGAGCCTATAACCGAGGTATGTGCCCTGGTCAGGGAATCAAACTGGAGACCCTTTGGTCAGTGGGCCGATGCTACAACCATTGAGCCAAACAGGCCAGGGCTTAACTGTGTTTTTAATCATAGGATTTATGAATACAGTTTGACCCTTGTACATCATGGATTTGAACTGTGTGGGTCCATTTATACACAGATTTTTTTAAATAAATAATGTAAATGTATTTTTTCTTCCTTATAATTTTCTAAATAACATTTTCTCTAAGCTTACTTTATTAGAAGAATACAGTATATAGATATAACACACAAAATATGTGTCAATCAACAGTTACCGGTAAGGCTTCTGGTCAAAAGAAGGATAGTAGTAGTTAAGTTTTGGGGAAGTCAAAAGTTATACATGGATTTTCAACAGTGGAAGCTGTTGGTGCCCTAAACCCCACATTACTCAGCTGTCATTGTATTGTTGTCCCTTTAGGAAGTCTTTGACCATCATTGTTCTGAAGATTAGTTTTAAAACAACAAGCTGAAAAAATATGGATGTCTGCTTTCCAATTGATTTCTCTGAAATGTAACAAATAATATCAGCATGTAGGTTATACAGACCCATGCTAATTAGAATACTTAACAGAAAAGAAGAGGTTTACTTCAACGGCTTACATAATGGTATGAATTGGTTGATACAAGTTTCGAAGAGGTTTCTGTCCTAAAACATTTGAGTTACTAACAGTACAAAGTACTCTGACTGTCCAAAGACCAGGAAAACTGTGTCAGAAAAAGTTCCCAGTTGACTGCCTCTTGCAGTCTTACTAGTGCTGGAACCATACCTTGCACACTATCTCTATACCACAAGAATTGTCCCCATGGCTCTGCGCTCCAATCTTCTCAACTCTGCTGATCACTCCCAAGGGAACATCCAGAATGAAATGTGGGTCCTGAATTTACAAATTAAGATAGATGTCTATTAGTGTCAGTCAACAGATTTTTCATATTTTAAGTCTTCCCTGGCTTAACACTCATTTGTTTACTTTACATTTCCTCTTTGTTGCAGCGAAGAAACTAAAGTCTGATAACATGCTTTCTGAAGTAGATGTTAAGAAGGCAATTAAACTTCCCTTCCAAGTATAAGTGCTACTTTAACAGCTTTTTCTCAAGATACTACCTGGTTGTAAATGTGCACAACTTAAAACTCACCTTCTGGTTCTCTCAAGGTGATGAGATTTCAGGGTATTTCTTTCTTCTTTATTGTTTACTTGCTTCTGAAGTGTTTTTTTTTAAATTTATCTTTATTGTTGAAAGTATTACAGATAGTCCCTTTTTCCTCCCATTGCCCCCCTCCACCCTGCCTGCACCTCACCCACCCAGGCTTTCCCTATACTATTGTCTATGTTCATGGGTTATGCATATATGCATATAAGTTATTTGGTTAATCTCTTTCCATTCACCCCCTCCTGGCCTTCCCTCTGAGATTCTTCAGTCTGTTCCATGCTTCTGTGTCTCTGAATCTATTTTGTTCATCAGTTTATTTGAAGTGTTTTTTAAAGTAAAACACACTTTTAAAAACTCACCCTCTCTACATTTTTGAAGTACATCTTAAAGTCTGTCACTGTCAGCGTTCCATTCACAGCTCCCATAAATGGGCAGATATACATGACATCTTTCACTGAAAGAAAAAACTCAAAGTAGCAACTACTGCTATAGACTTGTGCTTCAATAAATCTTAACATGAGTTTCCAAATATATATATATATTTGATTCCAGTTTTCTAGAAATTTTAGATTTGTTATTACTGTAAATAAAAACATAGATGGATATTTTCTAATAAAGTTCCTTTTTTTTCCAAACAAAATTCTATTTTGGTACTTAATGAGGTTTTAAGTAAAGGGCTTCATAATAAACTATATTTTGTTATTTTTTCCAGGTGGTTAACTTTTCCTCTAAATAATAAATTAATCATATCAAAAACATATGAATTAAACACTGAAGACACTGGGCTATCCATTAACAAATTACTGCTAATGAATATTAACTAAAGCTAAAAACTGTCTCCTAATGCACCTCCTAAAAGCAACTGCTTTACAGATGACAAAAACTAGAACCACATCAATGAAGTGGAAAAACACTTCTTTGCTTCAAATTCCTTATCAGCTTCCATATTGATTTTTTTCTTACTGTGAATATCAATAAGAGAATATTTAATATGATATCAACAGCATAACTGATTCCTATGAGCGTTAAGAACCTCATGCCTATCACAAAGATACCTTCACCACCTTCCCAATGCGTGATTCCATTGGCATGACAGGAACACACACAGTTACAGATGAGTCCAAGTGGATCTATTAAAGGTGCTAAAGTTGTCATCCAGCCAAATACTTCCATTAAAGTTTTCATTATGTACTGAGCAGCTTCTATTGTTGGGGTTCTAGTTATAACTAGACACAGTTCCTCCCCACAAGCAGCACATGACCTGGGAGTGACACTATACAGAAAATGACCATTATACTATAGCCTGATAAATTCTATCATAACCATGTGGACACGATGTGATAAGAGCTCAGAAAAGGATTGACTTAACTCACCAAGGAAGCAAGAGGAAGGAGGGTGGGGAAGGAGGAAAGAAAGAGCAGCCAGTTGTTGGAGGCTAGTGTGGCTGGATTAAAGAGTGCATGAGGATGACAGCACATGAGGCCAGAGAAGACTTATTTGTGAATGTTCATAGCAGTTTTATTTGTAATAGTCAAACAGTAGAAACAACCCAAATGTCCGTCAATGGAAGAAGAGATAAGCAAACTGTGGTGCATCCGTACAATGGAACGCTAGTCAACAATAAAAAGGAATGACTGTTGACCCATGTCACAATATGAATGAATATCAACATAATAATGCTGAGTGGAAGAAGCTAGACAAGAAAGGTAATATATTCAATAATTACATTTCTAGAAAATATAATCTAGTCTATAGTGCTTGGGAATGGGGAGAAGGCTTGGGAGGGAAGGTTTATAAAGGGGCTTAAGGAAACTTCTGTGAGGTGAAGGATATGTTCATTATCTTCAATGTTATGATGGTTTCTCAGGTGTATAATGTGTCAAAACTCTTCACGTTCACTTTAAATCTGTGCAGTCTGTCAGGAGAGGAAGCAGAGGCCTGACATAATTAGCTCTGCATTTTAAACAGATCATGCCCAAAGCAGCATGGAGGCAGGGCTAGAAGAACTCTCAGGGAAAGAACAGCCAGAGAGGCAAGAGGACCACCAGGAGTGACTGAAGTACCAGAAGCCAAAGAGAGAAAGAATGCCAAAACCAAGGGTGGCATAAACAGGGTCCAGAGCCACAGAAGAGGATATTTAGTGGGGGTAACTATTTGCAGCCCTGGTAGGAGAGTCCAGCTACTCTCAAGTTCTTGACACAAGAACACATCTTTGGGAGGGAGCCATGAGGGAAGAAGGCAATATTCAGCCTAGCAGAGCAGACCGTCCTATCCAAATCCAGCGATTGTGAGGTGAAAAGGTCGCACCCAGCTCTCCTCCCAGCCACCCATGGCACAGTGGACTATATGCTGAAATGCCTGCTCCTCCACAGTGGGGGGATGTGGTAGCCCTTAGGCCACTGCCCTTGCAATTCAAGGTGGCAACACATGCCCTTTTCTTGCACTAAAATTGTACTTTCTTGATACATTCTCCTTATAGTGAAGGATTCCAACAAAGCAATGAACTAACATTATAACAAGTATCTAATCGGCCTTCAGTTCATCAGGAAAAGTTGGGCTCCTCTTCTGCTGGTAATGCCAACTAATACTCATTCGGAGTTTAAAGTGATTCTCTATAGTCTTTTATCTCTTAAGGTCACAAGGACATTAATAAGAATGAACAGACCTAGTCCATTTGTCCCCTAGAGAAATTGGTCTGACTGATTTTTAGAACTTACATCACCTGTACTCACAAGGAAAGTGCCATGTCATTTTATGGATCGCTGAAGCAAAGTGTATGCATTAAACTTACCAATGGCCTTGATTGATTCTCCTGGAAAAAGTGGTGCTTCTTCCATCTGTGCCAGCTTATTTCCATCCCTTAGAGCCTAGCAAAAAAAAGCAACACTTTACATCTGTATACATGGGAATAATTGTGGTGTTCTGTGCTCTTGCTACAAAGCTACAGAAGCGTGCAAAATGTATGCCCCCTTCCCTTACAAGACAATTTCAAAGCTCAGCATCACAGGACACCATGCTGCATAGTCTAGCAAATTATTACACATATTTAAAGTTCACAGTTAGAAAGCATTAATACAGAAATGGCTTGACATAACAGAGAGATAGATACTCTAATCACAGTACAGACAGCTATTATGAGGTGCCTTCAGAATTTGGAAATAAAGTAAAAAAAAAAAAAGGTTACCTTCCGAGCAAGAAACTAATTCAAATAAAATCAACATTAGATATAGGTGCTTAGCTAGCTGTAGAAATGGTCCAGTCTATGAGATAGTGTGGGAAACCCTGAAGTCTAAAATATTCAGGAGGTGGTCTCAGGGCAGCGATATTACTAAGGAAAGCTCTAGACTTTTGTACTGCAGCCCTGCTACCCCATGTGTGTACACAAAGCTCAGGAGCTTGTCAGTGTGTATCCCATCCAGACCATGAGAAAGCGCACCCTCATCTGGCAGAGTATTTAAATCAAGGCTGTGGAGAAGAGTGTGTTAATCAGGCTTCGCAAAAGTCAATTCACTCTGTGCTGATTCCATGCTCACCAAGCAAATTACTAATGAGGTATTACATTTCCTGGCTACAATGATACTAGGAAAAGGATATCTTGGATGGATGGCTACGATAAGGTGCCTGGGTATAAATGTGGATACATGCCCACAGTTCTCCAGATTAGCACCGTAGTCCAGTAACCAGTCTCTTGTGAGTTTGGTTGGATAGTGCCAGAGAACTCAAGGGAGCTGAGAAAATTGTGCTCTCAAACTACAAAGCTGGGGACCAAAGCCTGAACTCAGGGCCTATTCCAAGGTACTGCCATCCCCTGAGATGCTGTCAAGAAAACTGATTACTTTCTCCTTGGCATCTCTGATACAGTGTGTCACAAATAAGACTAGGATGTTTAAAACTCCAGAAAGCCCAAAGCTGTGTTTCATAGAGCATTAAATTCCCAAGAGATGTGAATAAGTCTTTTATTCATGAAAGGTCTGGAAAATGCATGATTAAAGAAAACAAGTTAAACATTTTTTGTGTGTGTGACAAGCCTCTAGCATGTTAATGTACAACAAATCAACGAGAGGGCACTAGAATATGCTGCATTTCCCATACCTATTTGATCATGGGCTGCTTCTCCAAAAAATATTACCTGTTAACATCAGGAGGTCACTAGTGTTCAGAGGAAAACAGATCAGACAATACTAAGTTTTCAGCATAATTTTGTGAAACAAAACTTTAAAACCTGATAACTTTTTAATTCTAATAAAAATTATTGAAAATTCAAAATAACTATTTTTCATAGTTATAAGAATATTTCATTATGATTTATTAAAGGGAATCAATTTGAGAACACTATACATAGTAGTTTCATCAAATTTTTGAAAATAAAGGGAAAAGATAGAAATATAAACAGTGCCCGGCCGGGTGTGGCTCAGCAGTTGAGCATCAACCTAGGATCCTGGAGATTGTAGTTCGACTCCCGGTCAGGGCACATGCCCGGGTTGAGGGCTCCATCCCCAGTGTGGGGCGTGCAGGAGGCAGCAGATCAATGACGACTCTCTCATCATTGATGTTTCAACTCTTTTTCTCTCTCTCCCTTCCTCTCTCTGAAATCAATAAAGATACATTATATATATATATATAAACAGCAAATTCAATGCTCAGTGTTGGTCAGCATATGTCTGTTCTACAGGGAGGGGACAAAATGAAACGGTCCATCCTCCTTCTTATCAAGAACACAGATAAAATAATACAGATTACCTCCAAACAATTTTATTGCATTTGAATTTTTAGTCCAGGTTGGTTTTTAAGACTTTTTAGCCAAAAATTTTAGGGACTTACAGAACTGCTAAAGAAGACGTGGGGAAGTGTTTGTGGATTCATTTTTATACTCACACCTGATATGGAAATATATCTTTTACACAACACTAAAAAAAATCAAGAATCCTTAATAGAAGCCTTCATTTGAAAGTCACCTTCTTTAATTTATTGCTTGAACTAGAGGCTAATTTTATAATATAGTTACAATGTGAGAAAGCCATTTTAATCAATATTCAAGTTTTGCATTACTTCAACTATTACATTGTTAAAGCTTATTTTAATGGCCAAATATTATCTTATATATTATATAGACTTAAATTCCCTAACTCGTATTTTAAAATAAATGGGGATAGGTTATTTTGAAATATATTTACCAAAGCAAGCTGTTCTAATTAACTGTATCTGGAAGGGGTGGGGCGAAATGTGGCTCACTTTAAGCCTTATATAGAGCCACATCAAACACTTTAAAATCCTCAACCCAGGACTAGCTAGCAAAATGTTGTGATTGGGAGACAGCAGTGATTGGGACCATTTTGAGAATGTACAAGGCTCTCAAGATAGAAGTTGAAGATCAAATGTTTCCCTTCTCTTCTGAAAGTCATGTTGAATTTGGCTTGAAATACCTGTGCATTTATATGAAGCGTGACTGTGTTGGCAAGACGGTGAGACAAATCTTTCATCAATAATAATTAAATCTGGGATATGCTTTTTAAGTGATGAGAAAGCAACTGTCAGAACAAAACAAATAAATGATCCCACTGCTGCAGATTTTCCCATAAAAGGTTTATTTTGTACATGAAACACATTTAGCTTTAGCATAGGAATTCAAGAGGAGAATAGTTTTTAAAGGCTCATTGTTTTGTGAGTATAATAGATTCCCTTTAAAAAGCTGGTGTTAGGAAATGGGACTTGTGCTACATTAAGCTTTTACTGCAACTACCAAGTTGCACAAGACATGATTTGACGCTTGATTTATCCAACTCATCTAGAGCATAATCAAAGAACAAATTCTTGTGAACAAAATTTGATTCATGAACACACCCATTCCTCTTGGTGCCTTTGCTTCAAGTGTTGCCCAGTTGAGGAATTTCCTTTGATGATCCCGTCCAAATCCTGTTCCAGTGACCCTGAAGGTCCAGCTGAAGGCCCATCACTCCCTAGTACTAGGTACCGCACTGGGCATGGACCATGCACATTTGAAGAAGGCAAAGTCCACACCCTCAAGGAGCATGCTTAGCATATGCATCTGTCCCCTCTAAGTCTCTGTAAAGGCACTTCATAACCCTGTTATGACTGAGGCTCATTAGAGCATCAATAACCCTATTTGGGAAAACCGAGAAGTACAGATGAACAAGGGTCTCGTTGACAAAATGTTGGATAAACCAATTTTTGCAAATAATGTCATAATGGAATCTATCAAACTTGGACAGGAGGGCACTGCTGTAGTGGTAAAAGCATTTGCTTATCATCTAGAAATCTAGTATGAAATGGCTCCTAAATACACAATCTGTAGCTACAAACAGATGAACACGTAGAACTTGCCACCTGATTAGCTTCAGCTTCAGAAGAGTAGCCATTGTGTTCTTCCTGAATCTCCTGCACAGCACCAGGTGCATGGACAAGAAAAAACAAAGGGGAGAAAGAGAACACGTGCAAACAGACAGGTGAAAAGACAGAACTTCTTTTTTAAGGAGACAGTAAGCATGTAAAACTCAACACACCTTCCATGGCTTTGCAAATCACATTTCACCCCTTGGAGGTAAGGAAATAACATGTAGGCCATCTATAGCATCCTCAGCCTAAAATGGAGTATCTATTCTGTATTTGTGTTGGGGTAGAAAAATGAAAAGCAAACAAACATCATGGATTTCAGAGAATGTACTGTCTTTTTAAAATCAAGAAATAGGTACTATAGCATATAGTAAAGGAACAAAATAATAAACACATAATATGCTCATAGAAACTAAAGCACACCACAGAAACCAGGTAAAGGGCAAAATCAAGCTAAAATACAAAGGCAGTTCATAGACTTGTATTTTAAACATAGTAAGTATTCATATTCTCTGAAGAATTATTATATTGTCCAGGGATCAACTCCACTGGTATTACCAAAATTTCCACAAACATGCACATGCACATATTACATGCTGGAGATATAAATATATGTATAAGTATACATATAACCTGGTACTTATTACTAATTAAATATTGTGAATTATGAATCAATACCATATTAAATATTTCTAATTACAGTATCAATATGCTTCAAAGAAACAGCTAAGAGGTTACATATTTTAATTTAAATTTTTCCAACCCCTTTAAGGTATACTTTTCTTCATTTAATTTCTTCATAGAATCAGTTTTTGAAACTTTGAAAATTGGACATTTAGTTCAGCAGATGGTATAAAGAATATGAATACTGAAGGTGACAAGATTATAACCCCTTTAAAAAGTTGTAACAAGTCTCTAAGGCTGAACATATTAAAATTTAGCATAGATATATATTTTACCTAAATGAAATTTTGGTTCCAATGACTATATTTCTTTCAAAGGCAATCAGTGAAGAAGTAACAAAGATTTAAAAGAATTTACTATTTCCCATCTTTCATTTTTGTCAATAAAGTGAAATTGCTACTTAATACATTTTTATACTTTATATCAGATTGAATTTAGTACACAATTGGTATTGCTACCCTTCAAAGAAGGGTAATTTTTTCAATGCAGCCAGTGTTTTAAAATTTCCATTTTTAAATACAAAGAAAATGGAATCCTTCTTTGATAAAAATTTTAAGAACTGAAAAATGAATGACTAAACAACAAAAACCACACAGCATTTCAAAGTCCATGCAAGTGTAAAGCCAAACACTAATATTTAACAATGTGAATCAGTGAAAGACAATGATTCTCAAGAGTGAAAGAAAACATGGTGAAAACATTAAACAAAGATAAACCAACTAGAATCATAAGAATTTGACTTAACCTGCTTATTTTTATACTACTTCACTGGCTTCAATAAGATTAAAAATTTTAAACTGACATCAGTAATTATTCTATCAAAATCCACACT